CTCCCTCCCGCCTCCCCGCCCGCCCCACTTCTCATTCACTTGGCTCGCACGGCGCAGACGGCACAGGGAGCACACACCGCCAGGCTGTGCGCAGAGTCGGAGCCAGAGGCCGCGGGGACACCATGCACGCCCCCAACTGAAGCAGCAGCGCCTCGAAGCCGCAGCTCCCACAGCCAGCGGATTTCAGGGAGCTCGGACTCAGAGGAAGCCTTACGGAGAGAGCTCCGCGGACCCCTCCAGGATAGTCCTCACCCGACGCTCTCCTGCAGACAGGAGCGCATAGTGGCCCCGGCTCGCGGTGCCATGGAGCGGATCCCCAGCGCGCAGCCGCCCCCCGCCTGCCTGTCCAAGGCGCCCGGACTGGAGCCCGGAGACCTACCAGGGTAAGTGGGCGCCCCTGGCCCCTTGAGCCGCAACAACAGCACCGCGTTTCGCGCCGCTCCTACTTGGAGCAGCTCCCGGCGCATCCGGGGGTTCTCGCCCGCCGGGCTCCGCAGCCGGGGCGCACGCAAACTCACGACCACCCCTGTCCCCTCTCCCTGCAGGATGGATTTCGCCCACATATACCAAGTGTACAAGTCGAGGCGAGGAATAAAGCGGAGCGAGGACAGCAAGGTAAGAGCCCCGCGCCCCTGGGGACCCCGGCCCCTAGCTCGTGCCGAGTTTCCAAGAAAAGTTTTTCTCACTCTGAGGCTGGAGGGGGTCTGCCAGGTGCGGGCTCGGCGACTCTACCGAGTGGCTTGGCGAAGCAGGGGCAGGAGGAGGTTCTGGGTGTGACTCTGCTCCGCCGCCCGGACTCCTTGAGCCGTGGGGTGGGGAGAAGAGGGGCTTCTCACCCCCTTCCTTTGGCGCCCACCGCCTCCCCGTGCGCCTTGCAGGAGACCTACAAACTGCCGCACCGGCTCATCGAGAAAAAGAGACGTGACCGGATTAACGAGTGCATCGCGCAGCTGAAGGATCTGCTACCAGAACATCTCAAACTTACAGTAAGTGAGAAGCTGGCGGCTCTCCAGGCCAGCTCCTCTTCCAGAGGGCGGGCGGGGGTCACTCGCCGCCTGCAGGGCCCGCGGGGAACTGCAGACAGAGCAAGGGCTGGATCCGAGCCGCCGTGGCTCTGTTTGCGGGGTACGCTTCCCCAATCCCGAGATTTTCTGGAAGCCTCATGAGAACCACTGGACGTCTCCAAGTTGGCTCCAACACCAGCTGGCCTTCCTTTACAAGAGTTTTAGACTTTCCTTCTGGTGACTTTCGGGGTTCTGGAGTTTTCCCGACTTGAGCAAACCGAGCAACAGAAATTTTATTTACCCTCCCTTTTCCCTTTTCTTTTAATTGTTTTAAATAAGAGGACTTGTTTTGATGTGCGATTTTTTTCACATCCTGTCCTTTCTTGGCAGTGGCCAACAAACAGCTTACTAGCTTGGCAGCCCTCGGTTGGGGAAAGAGGGAAAAAATAGTATTCGAGGAGGAAGAAAAAAGCCTGGATGAGCAGGGAGTTATGAAAGGGTGTCAGGAAAGGAACAAGGGGAAGCCTCTTGGCTGCCAGACACAGGAGAAGTCCCTCCCCGGGCTGACACCGCTGCAGAGAGCTGTTAACTCGATTCCCCTGAGTTAAGGTCAGCAGTGGCTGCTGGAGAAATTTATCTGTCAAAGCTTTTTCCTAAGGTAGCAGCGGCTGCTTCTAAAATGCCTCCAAAGATAGGTGGCACTCATTTTTTATTCTTTAATCAGAAATTATATATATATATATGTATTTTTTAACCTATACATTTCAAATTAAATTTAGCCAACCAGGAAAAGCTATTTTTTGTTTCCTTTCGAGACATTTCTCACTGCTAGTCAGTGTCCCAGAGCTGGGACTCGTCTGAGCTCAGTGCTGACGGAGACTCTTTTGATTGCAGACTTTGGGTCACTTGGAGAAAGCCGTGGTTCTTGAACTCACCTTGAAGCACGTGAAAGCACTGACAAACCTAATCGATCAGCAGCAGCAGAAAATCATGGCCCTGCAGAACGGTTTACAAGCTGGTGAGTGCCTGCGTCTGGGTATCATCTCGGGAGAGTTCTAGCACAAACAGAGAGCCTGTGGGCTCAACATCTGCTCTAGGAAACGTTCCTGCAACGAACCGCTTGTGCACATTCGTTGTGGGAGACGCTGTTTTGTCGTTCCTAAAAGGTCAGGCTTTTCATTCGGGATGCCGCTGTGTGCCACCTGGCATCCATACAATTAGTCAGATGATAAAATATTTCTGTGGCATTTTGGCTGAAGAGTTTCTGGGTTCTGGGAGTCTTCTCTCTTTTTTTTACCACCACTACCCCTTTTAAAATTTTAAAATGCCAAGGCACCTATAATTTGCATCGTGGGTGTTTCGCAGTTAGTCTTCTTCGCCCCGTTTCATTGGCGAATAAATGAGGGGTATGCCCCAGAGTTTTCCTGTGTCTCTACTTCCTTATGGCTCGGTGTGTGGTAGGAACCTGGCAGGGTGACAGGAAATGCAGGAGTTTTTCCTGCATTTCGTGTGGTTCCCCGACTAGCCACTAGGTATCCTGGTGATTTGCACAATCTAACGAAACCACTGAAGTTTCATCATCCGCTCTACTCACAGAGACGCACACTCACCTTCTAACCGTCTCGTCTCGCTGCTCCCAGAGAATACTGTACAGACCGGGGGAGAAATTTTTCCGCCCACTCCCTCATTCCATTCTCCTCCGCCCTCCTTTCCAAGGCTAGTGGGGGGAGAGTCACACAGACCTAGCACGTGCTGCTGTCGGGTTCCTCACTGAAAACTGAAAGATGGTCATGCCCGATTTTGTAGGGGTGGGGTCGTGGATCGAATCCATGGAAAAGGCTTAGAAGTAGCCTCTCTATGTAAGGATGATGGCATGATTGCGACAGGTATAAGCCATTACAAATAAGCTTACTTAAGGTGACATTTTTCCTTCATTTCTCTGATTTTATGACTGGTCTCTGTCCTTGCTACCATGAGACCGATCTTCTGTACATTAATTCTTTGGTTTTTGAACGTAATAGGATGTTCATTGCTGTGTCACTTATAATGAAAACTCGAGAACAACTCACAAATCCCAACAAGAGGGGAAATAGTCCATCTACCTTAATGATGGTCTATTTCTATGATGGGACGTTAATTATGCAGCCATTACTGTCATTTGGGGATTGTGGAAGATTTTGTATTTTATTCCTTATACTTTTCAGTGCAGTCCACATTTCCTCTGATCGTAGATAGTACTTTTTTTTTTTTAGAAACAGAGGCACAAATGAACAAAGGTATTAACAAAAAGGGAAGCTCCCAGCCTTCCGGCCGTAGGTATCCCGGTGACCCTCCCGGCCTCACGAAACCTCTTCCTTTGCGTCTGTGTTGACCCAGGTGAGCTGTCGGGGAGAAACATCGAAGCGAGTCAGGAGATGTTCTGCTCGGGTTTCCAGGCGTGTGCCCGGGAGGTGCTGCAGTACCTGGCCAAGCACGAGAACACCCGGGACCTGAAGTCCACGCAGCTCGTCACGCACCTCCACCGGGCGGTCTCGGAGCTGCTGCAAGGCGGCCCCTCCAGGAAGCCGTCGGACCCAGCTCCCAAAGCGATGGACTTCAAGGAGAAACCCAGCTCCCTGGCCAAAGGCACCGAAGGCCCCGGGAAAAACTGCGTGCCGGTCATCCAGCGGACTTCCGCTCCCTCGAGCGGGGAGCAGAGTGGCAGCGACACCGACACAGACAGCGGCTACGGCGGAGAGTCGGAGAAGGGCGACTTGCGCGGCGAGCCGCCGGCCTTCAAGGGCGATCAGGGACGCAGGTTCGCCGCGGGCGAGAGGATCGGCGCTATTAAGCAAGAATCCGAAGAGCCCCCCACGAAAAAGAGCAGAATGCAGCTGTCAGACGATGAAGGCCATTTCCCCAGCAGTGACCTGATGGGCTCGCCGTTCCTGGGCCCCCACCCGCACCAGCCTCCCTTTTGCCTGCCCTTCTATCTCATCCCGCCGTCGGCGACTGCCTACCTGCCCATGCTGGAGAAGTGCTGGTACCCCACCTCCGTCCCCGTGTTATACCCCGGCCTCAACGCCTCCGCGGCAGCCCTCAGCAGCTTCATGAACCCGGACAAGATCCCGGGCCCCTTGCTCATGCCCCAGAGACTCCCTTCCCCCCTGCCGGCCCACCCGTCCATGGACTCTTCGGCCCTGCTCCAAGCCTTGAAGCAGATCCCTCCCTTAAACTTAGAAACCAAAGACTAAACTCTTCGGGGGATCCTGCGGCTTTGCTCCCCATCTTCCCTACTTCCAAACGAAACGAAACAAAACTGTGTTTGTGAGAGAGGCGAAGTCGATCCAGGGTGTGTGCCGAGACGGTCTGGGGCGTGGAGAGGGGAGCTGGGGTGTGTGTGCGTGTGCAGCGTGTGTTGGTTTAGGACGCGAAAGCTCCTCTCAGCCTAGGGAAGACCTGCCGTGGGGAGGTTTAGAGGGTTTAGAGGGACTGCGGCAGACCCCTGGGCCTTTCCTTGCCCGGCAAATGCTCCCTCCTCCCCATACGAATCGGCTGGATGTTCAAAAGCTTCGAAGTCTCAGGCCGTGAGTCAGTCTACGCTTTGGGAGCCGGGTCTGTGGCTTTGAGAAAAAGGTACTTTCAAACGAGGGCTTTCCAGAGGGCAGTTCCCAGCCAGCCAGCTCTCCTGACCCCACCCTCCTCCCTGTCATTGTCTCCCTGACTCACCAGACAGGGACGGGGCAGCCTGACCAGACCCGAGCTCTCTGCAGAGCGGCGAGGTAGCAGACACAGGCATGGCACGGTGGTGGCTTGGGAGCTTCCGCAGGTCTGCTCCCCACCCCTGCCTCGACGAACAAAGAGAATGTAGTCCCCTCCTCGGCCTTTTCCTGAGTGACTAGCTTACTAAGGAACCGAAAGGGCCCCCTGGTCCAGGCCGAGCTGCCAGGGGCCGAGGGAGAAGTCCCCGGGGACCTCTGACACCTGTTTCTAGCTGTCACCTAGAAACAGTCTTGCTGTCCAGGGAACCAAACCCCAGGTCTGAGAGACGCAGACACCTCAGTTCCAAGCGCCCCAAAGTGCATAAAACTGAGTTTCAAGCAGAGCTAGATCCAGTTCGGTTCCCTCCTAAAACTCCTTCTAACACAGCTTAGCTTCTTAAAGGCCTAACCAGCCCTTGGACAAGAAGATCCTCTCTGCAGGCTAATTCCCCTCGCCCGACAGCAGATGGAGCGTCCTTATTGCTGAAAAGGAGTCCGTCTCCTTCAGAGAAGCTTTATTTTTGGTCCAGAGTTCTTGTTTTCTGACTCGTCCAGCTAGCCCTGCACCAGCTTTTCAAAATGCACTATGCTCGAGCACCGATTGTGTTTTAACTCTTCCTTTTCCTGTTTTTATTTTGGTATAAAGTCGTTGCCTTTATTTGTAAAACTGTTATAAATATATATTATATAAATATATTAAAAAGGAAAATGTTTCAGATGTTTATTTGTATAATTACTTGATCTACAAAGTGAGAAAAATGAATGTATTCCTGTTTTTGAAGAGAAGAATAATTTTTCTCTAGGGAGAGGTACAGTGTTTATATTTTGGAGCCTTCCTGAAGGTGTGAAATTGTAAATATTTTTATCTATGAGTCAATGTTAAGTAGTTGTTTTAAAGTACTTAATAAAATAATCCTTTTCCTGTGGAAGAGAAAGATGGTCTCCTGCGTTTTTTAAAATAACTCGATCATGAGATGAGGCTGTCTCCTACTGTCCCCGACTAGTTTAATCTCACTGCCATTTCGTTCCGCCTCTCCCAAGCCTTGTATTCAGACAGAGTAAGCTTAGTCAATCTAATAGACAAATATTTGTTTTAAGTTTGTTTTTTTTTTTAACTGATTCTTGCCAGAGTTGTAACAATCATCCCACGCCTCCTTCTACAGTTAAGCAAAAAGGACATTCTGCGCCGCCCCCCCCCCCAAGTCTGCTTTTGTCATGGTCCTTAGAACGTGACAGAAAATCGAAGTATGAAATTGTGGGCCTGAGTGTCCGGGGAGCTTGGTGGAGGAGCAGGCGCGCTGAGAAAAGATGTCCCGGATTATTACGCAATAATAATTGACGCTGGGCTAGCAGCTCTTCGCCAAGGCAGTCTAACTTTTTCGAGTGGAGCAAGGTCTAAATGGATTTGCCATATCCTGTCTTATTGCTGCTGAAGGCAACATCCCATAATTATTTTCTACATCCTTCCTGGACTTCCTCTCGCTGGGTGTGTTTGTGCGTGAATGGATATTCGTGTTCCTTAGTCAAGCGGCTCTTATGAAAAAGAAAAAATTCCGTGGGAAATGACCCGGTCGAATATTTTTGCCTCGCCCCGGCTCCCTCCCAGAGGTGTCCTGATGTTTCCTGATGGCCGGTGCCATGCTCCAGACCCCACAGCGTCTCAGCCTTCCAGAACCCTCTGTTGTCTGGGGCCCAGGCAGGAACCTGCCCCAGGCCCCCAGGAAGCAATCAGCCAGACAAAAGCACCACCTGCCTGGCCTGGCTGTTGGCTTCACATGTCACCTTCCCCATCTCCTGTGAGCCAGCAGGCTGGAGAGAACATTGCCTGGCTTGTGTGAGATGCAGAATGCAGGGTCCGAATGTTACAATTGTCTGCCATTGACCTCGATTGTCTGCCATTGACCTCTGGCAGCACGGTGTCCTGAAATGAATCAGGAGGTGAACCCATGGGCCCATCAACCAACCGGTGTCTGTCACCTCCCTGGGGCGGCTGAAGGAAGGGTTCCGAGCCCTCTCACATCCCCCACAGCAGGCAGGTGGCCAACCGTGTGATCTCCCCCTCCTGCCAGCACCCCGGGGCCCGGCCCTCCTGCCGGTTGGGCCCTGAATTCCTCCATGAACCGCTAGGCTCTTCCGGCCAGACTTTCTTATTGGTAAAAACCCAAACAAGTCGAGTTTATCCTGGGGACGGAGCCCGGGGTTGAAATCAAGACCGGACTCGTTTTGCACGCCCCTCTCTCCTGGCAGTGACTCAGGGAGTAGCTGTGGGGACACAGGAAGTGGTTGGAGCAAACTGAACTAAAAAAAGCTTTGAGGGTTCCACACGTAGTCAACCCAGAACCCTCCTCCTGACTTCTGCCGCTGTCAAACACCCCAAGGAGCAGCTGCCCCTCTGCCACCTTGCCCTTCTTGCTTGCCCTTGACCTTCCTTTAGCCCCCAGTCGCAGCAGGTTCCAAGTAGCTCAGAAGGAGACAGAAGCTGGGGGGGGGTGCGTGCACCCCAGTCTTTTTGCCCACCGGAGACAAAGAGGACCTCTGTTTGAAAAGGGGTGTGTGAGCGTGAGGGGGTGAGGGCTGAGCTGGGGCCCAGGAGGGGCGGCCGGAGGCAGGGGCGCGGCGGCCGGGGACCTGGCCGCCCTCAGACAGGGCGGGACCCGCCGGGATGGTCTCACCCAGCGCTGACCTGCCTGCCTGTTGACACAACGTCACGTTTCCGACTGCAGCCCTTTCGTGTGCGGCCCAGGGCTAAAAGCGGCTGCCGGTTCCTGGAAGCCGACGTGCCTGGCACAGCGTCAGCAGAAACCTGATCCCCGGGGAAGCTTGGCTGCCGCGGGATCGCTCGGCTCCTCCGCCCCCCGCCCCCCCAGACAGGGCCTGGCAGCGGCGCCGGCCTGCGGGGGCGGAGGAGGGAGCTGGACGCAGGCTGGGCGCGGGGACGAGGGCCTAGCTAACGACAAGGTAGCAGCTTCCCACGGGTCGCCGCTCATTAATGGAGCCTAACAACCTAGCAGAGCCATTATGAGAAAGGTACTCTTAGAAGTCACATTTTGTAGATCAATAAAAGCTGGCTCAGAGAGGGGAGGGGATTTGCCCAAGATCACACAGCTTCCAAGTCACCCAAGCGTTAATGGGACGTTGAGGATGTTGGATTGTGGCCCTCCTTAATGGCATCCATGGCGAAGGCTTTCACAGAGTCTGGTCGTTTAATAATAACAATAATAATAATTCATAATAATACAAATACTGACACAACCACAATGAACAGCAAACACATTTGTAGCACTTACTGTTTGCCAGGCTCTCTTCAAAGCGTTCCTCATACGATAACTCAATTTTCACAGCGACTGCATGAGGTAAACGTAATTAATCTTTCCCTTATATGATTAACAAAACTCAGTCACAGAGAGGTTACGTAACTGGCAGAAGGTCACACAGCCTAAGGGCCGATGGTGAATCAGCATTTAAACCAAGGTAATGTGGCTTCAGAGCCTCTGTGCTTAACTACAAAACGACACTGCCTTTCTCATTAAACGATAGTCATAGCAATAATAATCATAACAGCAGTAGTGGTAAAACTAGGAATAACTGCAACTGTTACTACCGGATTTCGAGTACTTTCTCTATCCCAGGCACTATTAAGCACCTGATGCGAATTCTCTCTACTTCCTATAGAAGCCGTGAGGGGTAAATATTAATATGCCCACTTTCAGAGCTCAGAGAGGGGAACCGCCTCATCTGAGGTGACACATAGGTAAAGGACAGGGCCTTGCCCTCGCTTCTAAATGGAGCTGCCATGACAGTCGGGCCGAAATACACATGATCTCATTTAATCCACTAAATAGCCCCGCCGAGTGGCTGCTATGAGCCCGCCGAGGAGCTAACTGAAGCTCAGAGGAAAATTCTTTGCCTAACTCTTTATCTGCTCCCTCACAAAAGCCCCCCACGACACCACCACCGCACATGACTATCGGGGCATAATGGCGGGGGCGGTGGAGGACTGTAGGTTTACTCTGCTGAGAACCAGAATCCAGGTTCAAGGAAGTCCTGTATCAAACGAAGTGTCCTGGGGTGGGCGGGGACCATGCTTTTCTCTCATTTCTCTTAAGGTTAGGGGAAGGGCAGGGAGAGGGGCCTGGGCAGTAGCTACACATGGACCATGTAGGGCCAGGCCAGTCCCGAGGGACGGCGGGGGCGGGGAAGCCAAGATTGAGTTTCAGGCTCTCTGGCTGGAAGGGAACCTGGGCCACTCAGGAGCCCAGGCCCCTGCTCCTGTCCCTCCTTGGTTCCCTCAGCCCACCCACACCCTGACCCAGCTGTCTAGCTGTTGGCCATCTCCCCAGGATTGGCAGGTGAGGGGTAAGCAGGGCCGGTGTCTCGGGCTGGAGCTTGACATACTGCTGGGTTCTCCCCAGGCCTCTGGGTCCTGCTGCATGGCTCCCAGAGACAGAGTGTGCTGAGTCCCCAAGTGCTTTCATATAAAGACTATGTGTTAACAGGATCGGCGTGTTCCCTTGAGAAGTCCTCAAGGTGCCACGTGGCATGAGGGGGGGAAGCCTTGGACTTCTCATCCTCTTCAGCTGGAGCAGCTCCCTTTTCCTGTCATATATTGTCGTGGTTTGTTTAAACAAGAGCTCCATTGCTAAAAAAAAAAAAAAAAAAATCACAAACATGTTTGTAAAGCATCAAACTACAGCCCCTTCCTCAGGCATGGCCTTCACCTCAGCTGCCTCTTTCTCCGGGATCCAGAGGGAGGCTGAGGCCACTCAAAGCCACCATCCCTCCCAGCACCACCCCCCTGTTTATCCCAAGCCATCTGTTTGGCCCGACTACCACAGCAGAACCTGAGCCGGGAGCGGCCTCTCCCATTGGCTGTGGAAGCCACTGACACGCTTGTCCCCGGCTGGGCCGTCTAGTCTTGTGATGTGGCTGGATGTGGGCCCAAGGGCTTCTTCCGCTAATGACCGGGCCCTCCCTTCCTGGAGGAATCTTAGCAAAGACACCGAGGTGGGACATCAGGGGTGAGCTACCAGGCTGCTTGGTAGAGGGGTCGACCCAATGTCATCGCCCAAGCAACGGGGACAACCAGCCTCAGCTACACCTGAGGCCCAGGCCTGCTCTCACGCCCTCCGTCCACCTTGGAGAGGGCGAAAGGAAGAAACCTGTGCTCGTTTATTTGTTGGAAGAGGAAATGTATTTTTTGAAACGGCCTTATGGATGATGGTATATGGAGAGGAGAGTTATGCAAAGGTCTCTGAGGAATTAAAGTAGGGGGAAAAGGAAGAAAAAATTACTCCCTTTCCGGAAAAAAAAAAAAAAGTGGGTTTCTTAAAGTTTTTAGTAAAATATCTAAAATGTTTTTATCTTTCTTTACTGGAGAATTTTTAAACATATACAAAAGTAGACAGAAACAACAAAACCACCCAATTTCAAAAGGGTCAGAGGATCCGAATACACATTTCTCTAGAGAAGACATACAAATGGCCAAGAAGCACATGAAAAGATGCTCAACACCATTAGTCATCAGGGAAATGCAAATCAAAACCACAGCGACATACCACTTCACACCCACTAGGGTGGCTGTAATAGAGAAAAAACAAAACGGAAAATAACAAGTGTTGTCGAGGACGTGGAGAAATTGGAACCTTCGAACATGGCTGGTGGGAATGTAGAAAACAGTTTGGAGATGCCTCGAAAAGTTAGAGATAGAATTACCGCGTAGCCCTGCAGTTCCACTCCTAGGTAGGTCCCCAAAAGAATTGAGAACGGTTGCTCCAGCAAGCACACGTGAATGCACGCCCGTAATGGCGTCATCTTTATGCTCAAAAACGGCTGAAATGTTTAGCCACGGATGAAGGGCAAACAAAAACTGCTCTGTAGACACAGACGAGAGGCTCAGAATGCTGCGGCGTGGAAGGACCTCGCAAACGTCGCGCTC